GACACTCCAATTTAGTTAATTTGGTGTCTTGTCTAAAAGCAGCCAGTCTGAAACACAGTGAATCACAGAGTCTGCAGAGTCTGACTCAAAACCACCTGCCCGGACTGTTGTTTGGTTGTTGTTGACGTGACGGCGGGTACAAGTTAGCGGTCGGACACACAGGTTCTCTGTGTCCACTGTTCAATTAAATGTTACCAGAATCTATCCCAGCGTGAGATCTTAAATAGTTGAGATCAAAAAATGATGGAAATTACAGGACTGCGTTCTGGTAGAAGTATAAAAACAGCGTTTGACTGCGTGGGAGGAACAGGAATTAGACTTGTTACCATGACTTTTAGGATGCAAGTAAATAAACTTTGGTGGAAAACTTGATCTCTTGCGTTTGCAAAACAATTGTTTTGGATTCATTGATTTTATATACTAGAGTAAAAACAACCCACACTCGGTGAACTTTGACTGGTTGTGTATTCATGCTGCATTTGATGCAATGCTGAGGTGGGAAAATTCCAAACTCCGACTTGAAAAAGTAGAATGGAACGACTCTGGAAGTCTGAACTCAGAGAAGCAGATGTTCTGACGACACTCAATTTGGCAGCGTCCACAAAAGTTACTGAAGTTAGCTGTATTTGTAAATAATGATGTCAAGATACCAGACATTTGGTAATCGTGTCAATCCCATTGAAATTGAATGACAGTTTTTTATACCAAAGGAAAATTAATTAAGAAATGTGTTTAACCATAAATGCTTTTATCTTATTTTGTGCTAACACGTTGACGTTATATTCCACACACTGTAGGCGAATGACAGTAGCCTACAAACATGATGAGCTGCACCCAGCTGATGGTTTGAACTGTCGCGTCAACGCTGTGTCACCTCGCCTAGCCAGACCAATCTCTAGTCCTGTGTATGGTCTGACTGCAGCTAATCACCATTCTGCTGTAGGGGAAAATTCACTTTGGTGTGTTTTTATTTCTTTAAACCAATCAAGGTCTTCACTCAAAATTTTGTTTGGGGATGTTGTTTTGATGTAGCATTAGCATGCAGGTAGGGGAACACTGCCATTAACGATGCTGAATTAAACTAGCATGGCTACTTTATTATACATGTTTCAAACCCTCAGCAATGTATGCGGTCGCTCCTTGGACTTGGTTGTTATTTCTTGCAGTGAAGTGGATTTTGAAAAGAGTAATACGTAAATAGTGGAAAGGGAGGAGAAAGACAAATGAAATGCGCATCCCATGGCAGCTTTATACACCTGGTGAGTCAGACTGTGTTGTGTACGTAGCATTGCCACATTTGTCTGTCACAATAGTAATGATAACAAATCATGTTATTATAAAGTTAACAGACTCTTATCATGAATTCTGTGTACAGAAGTACAGAAGTTCAAAGTACTTTTTCCTTTAATTTCAAATTCTCTTTGTCAACATTTATGTCCTCGGTTTTGCTCGTATAGAACGTGTCCCTGATCATCTGACTAAAATGCACAATATCTCCATGCATGTCTCTTAGTGTGTGTGTGTGTTTTTTGCTTTTCTTTTTGAACATGTTGCCTCGAACCTTTGTTCCAAAAATTGCTTCACATGTTGTTGTTGTCCAGTATCTCCTGTGCCTACAGCGATTATAGTCAATTTGGTAGCAAAACAAGTCCTGTCACGTTTTTAGAATAGGTTGCCTGAAACCTTTAGCACTAATGGTACTTGGTGGACTGTAGTGTGTAGTATTTAAAGTACACTGATATAAAGTAATATATGGAAAAGCTTCTTATATCCGTTGTTCATCCTCCTCTGTTTCATTGTAAATGCTGCCCTTAAGATTACTTTCTTCCTGTCAGCCATGTTGATTGTTTACATTTGTCATTATGAAGTCCATCATGCTCCTAATCTGTAGAATTAAATGACCTCAGATGTGATTCAAAGGCAGACAGAGGCCTGTATAGTTGGATTGTTTGTTCACTTAAGGGGCAGTTGGCAGACAGTATAGATAGATGGATGTAGGAGTACAAGGTAGAGGCTGTTTTACAACGGTAAAACAGACCTTCTGCAGGTGGTATAAACCTTATTTCTGCCTGAATTTGGCGAATCAACTTAAACAAACTGACAGCAGAGGGACCAAGCCAGTAAAAGTGAATCATTCATGGTGGTGGGTGGTGAGAGCAGGCTTGTTTATTTGCTGGTTTCATTCAGTAAGGGGCACAAATGACCTGAAAAGTACTATTAAGATGTGGCCAAAGATTATTGGAGACAGAGGATGTAGAGTTTTTTCCCAGATGAGCTTATTGAACGTGCCTGATAACATTTCAGCAACGATATTCTCAGTGCTGGCGTCAGTATGTTGCTATTTTTTACTTGTAAAAATAATTGTTCCATCTGCTTTACTTCTACTTAATTATTCATAGTTATCTTTTGTGCTTTTATGTGGCTTTGTGTGTGTGTTTTAGACATGAAGTTATTTATTTCTTATCACACTTCTTCTTCCAGTCTTTATCTTATCACAATCTGGGCCTTGTTACTTTAGTTTTGTGATAAGATGTAGACTCTGCTATTAGCACTGTATTGTACAACGCAGGAAGTTCCTTTTTAAAGTGGTCACAATTTAGATCTTTATCTCAAAACAACCATAAAAAATGAATACATTACCAAATCATAGGGATTTTTGTGTGATGAATAATGAACTTGTCTATCGTGTGTGAATAAAATGCTTCATTTAGCTTGACACACTCACAGTGACCTCATAAAATTATAGACAAAGCAGTGTGAATGTGAAAATATAAACACAAAAACTGTAATTTTACAGCTTTCAGAATGACAGCTGGATAAAGATAATTATGATGCTGATGAAGCTATTCATACAGACGGGCTCTGTGTGTTCTGTCTTCTTGTCAAAGCTGAATTGTACAGAACACTAAATTAATCCCACACAGTTTTTTGTTTTATTTCCTCACTGTTCTTTCTACATTTGGCTATCTTATGGCTTCACAATCTACATAAAGACCGTGTTTAACCATTCAAGCCCAAAGGACGCACTTTGTGTCCAAATTCACATCCCTTGAGTTGCACCATGTTGGAGCAAATATTACGAAATAAGCATTTCATAAAGCTGACAACATCAGGAAACTGCATGACTTGACCTTTTTAACAATTATAGTAAGAAAAAATCTGTTTGAATTTACGTCAGATGTCATCATAGTTACAACCTACAGACAGCTCTGATCCATTTTCACAACATTTACTCTTGTTCAAATTTCTCATGAACTCATCACTGCAGGATTAATATCTATGTGATATTTGCATTGCATGTATGGATATGTTAAAATACCTATGCAATATTATGTTAGTGTGTCACAAGAAAGAGCAGAACCAGAACTGTTATGCTGACTATTATAAATTTGTACGTACTGAAGGAATCACATTTTGAAGTCAGAACAAACCCGTGGAAAGTAGTATGTTTACTAATTTCTTCATCAATTTTCCCACCTTTGCTTCTTGGTTATTTATGTCATAATTTCCTTTTCATTTCATGATAGGAAAGCCTCCCACATATCAGAAAAAAAAAACCCAGTAGAAATTACCCTTTTCAATAGCACTAGTAGTTTGTTCAGCAATGATTGTTCTGTTATGAATTTCCAGCAAACGTCTGCATTGATTTCAACACAAAGCTGTCATTACATCCCATCCATCCATCCATTAACTATACGTTGCTTAATCCTCACTAGGAGGCTGAAGCCTATCCCAGCCGACTCAGGGCGAAGGCAGGGGACACCCTGGACAGGTCACCAGTCTATCGCAGAGACAAACAAGCACACTCCCATTCACACCCAAAGACAATTTAAATTCTCCAGTTGACCTCAGCATGTTTGTGGGAGGAAGCCGGAGAACACACAGTAAGATCCCAGGCCCAGGCCGGGACGCAAACCAGGGATCTTCTAGCTGTAAGGTGACCGTGCTAACCACCCTGAAACCCCCATTACATCCCATTTTGTATTAAAAAAAACACACACACAAAATAATACATTTATTTGAAATTGCAATGATTTAAAAGTTGGAATCAAAAGATGTACACAAGTCACCTTTGCACAAGAGGGTAGTGGTCACCCTGGACTCTGGGGGGCCCAAGTGGACATTGAGGGTCCCTAAACATAATACGAAATACATTTTCCCCCATATAAAGGCCAGTATGAAGAATTGGAAAGTATTATAATACCCAACAATGGAAGATCGAGATATCACAGACTGTTGTGAAAAACACATGATACAGCATGTGTAAGTAGCTCCTACAATGACCAAGAGAACAGCTTAAAAGGAAAGTCGTGAAACTACCCTCAAAATAACCAGGGGCCCATCGGGTCAAACCTAAAGACGTTTATTGTTGCTGCATGTGTTGACCTGAGCCGCTGCACAACTCTGTCCTTGCAAGGTTAATTAAATTCTGTTGAACTGAAATGAATCCTGTAGCATTTGCTCTTAAGAACTTTTGCTCATGCTGAGCTCCTTCCAATATCTCTCAAGTTTCTCTTTCCGTCCTCTGATTAATGTTTCTGAAGACAAGTATGGAGTTATTCAATTACACTACTGTTAAAAGCATAGTTCCTAAAGTGATTTGAAAATAAATGTACATTGTTTTTGTTAGACAAGTGCATGCTTCTTTCTTCCATGTTCAACCACAAATGTCAGCCGCAGCACGAGGGTCCAAACATTCCTATGTACACAGAAAACAACAGAAAATTCCAAGAAAACTGGACATTCAGCTACTGTGTCACTGCTCCCTCTGCTGGTTGGAGCAGGACAGGACTGGGATTTGTTGCATTAATTAATTTTACATACTCACCCTCAGCAGCACACTTGGTCAGTCCTGCCTTTTCCTTTTTCTGCCTTTTGTGTTACTTTCTACACTCTGGTTCATTTCACATCTACGTTTAGATCTGCACAGGTGGTTGTATCAGTGCTGGAAGACAAACGATCCTCTCCTCACTGTTCTAACAACTGCTCTCTTGTTGCAGTCACAGATGAGGATACAGTCAAGAGGTACTATGCCAAGTTTGAGGAGAAGTTCTTCCAGACTTGTGAAAAAGAGCTGGCCAAAATCAACACCTTCTACTCTGGTAAGGAATACTAATGAAACCACTACAAACGCACAGTCATAGAAATCACTCTGACAGCGTTCTCACCGTTCTGCAGTGACTTTCTGTCTTTAACGTCTCTCTCCTGCTCCCCCCCTGCAGAAAAGCTGGCCGAGGCTCAGCGGCGATTCGCCACGCTACAGAACGAGCTGCAGTCCTCACTGGACGCTCAGAGGGAGAGCGCGGCTAATGGGCGGGGCCTGAGGAGGAGGAAGACGGTGTTCGCCCTGTCGCAGCAGGAGCGATGCAAACACAGAAACATAAAGGACCTGCAGCTGGCCTTCTCCGAGTTCTACCTCAGCCTCATACTGCTGCAGAACTACCAGGTGCATGCTCAGTGCATCTGAACAGTACACAGAGGACACATTTACACACCTTGATTGAATTTCCTAATTTCCTCATGGAGACCATTTATTTCATTTAATTAGTGCACTTGACAGGAACATTGCTTATCGATCGGTAGGAAGAAAGACCTGTAAATGAGCTGGAGTGTGGTACTTTTAATCCGATGCTAAAGAGGCACCCTAAAGAAAAATGGCCTGGCTGCAATTTATTATCATTCTGCTAAAATCTTTGTTTTTATGCCTTTCAACCAATCACTTTTGGGCGATGCTAAGCCCAGGAATAGTGCCCCTGCAAAGAAGTGACACTCAAAGAACCAATCAAGCCGAACTGCACAACTCATAATTACTTTCAAACATTTTCAGGGTTTAGGTTGCAGTCTGGAGGCGGTTGTTGTTGTTTTCTTGTAGTGACGTGGATTGTAAAAACAGTTAAAGGTGAGGAGGGTGGGGACAAAGCTGCATGAAGTGTGTGGCAGAAATGGCAGGCTTAAACACATAGTCTACATGGTCAAAGAGCCCAAGACAGTGTTAAACAACATGTATTACAATATTTAAACATTTTATACTCATCCAGCTTCACTTAAATGTAAATAATAACCTTCATACATTCATCGACTATTGAATTTTAGGGCTGATAACAACTGTTTGTTGTGGTTGATAAAGGAACAACACTAATAGAACTTTAGCATTTGCAGAAATGTAAAATGGACAAAAAAAAGCAGCATTTTAGTTGCTGCACTGTCAATGCAATCTATACAAAAACAAATTATCGTCAAAGCAAGAAGTAGCACTCATATAGAGCTACAGCAGTTATCCATTTACCTGCTTTTGTTTTTTTAGCCCTAAATTTGTGAGTAAACTGAATCTTTGTTTGGAGTGCTGATCGAGCAAAAACAAGCCATTTGAATTCATCTCGTCAAGCTGTGGGAAGTTATAATAGGCTTTTTTTTTTCTATTTTAAAGGCGAGTTTATTGAGGAAGCAATCGGCAGATTAATCAATCACAAAATTATCATTAGTTGCAGCCCTACACTTACAGTGACGAAGATTTATCACCACGCTCTGAAGATCTTCTCATCTCGTCGGAGCTTTTTAATCTTGTTGGGCTTTTCCCACTGCAACTTCACAGATTTAGCTCAGTTTTACAGGTTTACAGCAGAAAGTTCTTCCAGCATCAAAAACAGAATCTTGCAGGTAGACATAATGGAGCATTTAGCAGCTAAAGAGCCAGATGTTTTTTTTTAGGAACTAAATGCAGAGAAAGTTGTGGACACTAACATGACTCCAAGTGAATTCTCATATTGTTCTGTGTCTGCTGAGTGTGTAACTAGTCCACTGTTTACTAACAGTACCTATTAAAAAATGTGGGCAACCCAATGTGGGGCTGAAAGTCTCCGATGCATTGGCCATGTACGAGTCCGACCCATGACTGATTTGCTGCATGTCCTTCCCCACTCCCCTCCCTGCCCTTTCTGTCTCATCACTAATCCCCCAAGTGTGCAGAATGAAGTTAAACCAGCTTCAAGTAATGAGTAACACTGTCTTCAGTAGGATATGATTATATTTACATGTGTAGACAAAGCAATTGTCATCCCTACTGTACATTCAGTCTGTGTTTTATCAACTTTACTAAATGCTGCCTGACCACTCGCAGAGGTCTTTTTCCTATTTTGCTCATTAATTGTTTCACATCTATCAGCAGCTGCGGTTAATCAGCTGTAGTTGACAGTTTTCATTAACTGCCTTCTTGTCTCTGTCTCGGCCTCCTGTATCTCTGCAGAACCTGAACTTCACAGGATTCAGGAAGATCCTGAAGAAGCATGATAAGATTTTGGAGACTTCGAGGGGGGCCGACTGGAGGGTGGCCCACGTTGAAGTGGCTCCCTTTTACACCTGCAAGAAGATCACGCAGCTCATCTCTGAGACCGAGGTACACATATCTACTGCATGTGTGCAGATATTCCTGTCATCTCGCTCGTATTCACATCTGCTCCATTTGCATCGAAGTCTAACAGTAAGAATCACAACCCTTACGCTTCTACCTCTGTGTGTTTCAGGGATTGGTCACAACAGAGTTGGAAGGTGGCGACAGGCAGAAGGCCATGAAGAGGCTGAGGGTGCCTCCTCTGGGAGCTGCACAGGTCAGTCAGATGCATATTGTGTTTACTCATTGCTGCAAATAAGGGATCCTGCTGTCTCTTTACTGCTCACAATCAAACTTTCACTGTTCTTCTTGTCAGCGAATATTTGTCTGAAGGCAGAGTTCTGGTTTTCGCAGCCCTTTGAGCCATTTTGTGTAACATTAAGTACACATCGATGGGGGTATGGTCATATTGCCCCTCATATCAAACACAGAAAATACCCACAGGACTCAAATGAATGTTTCTGAAGGGCTGTGACTTTGTACAAGATATAGCATCCGGTTAGAGATTAGACTGTGGCACTGCGTTTGTCAATATTCCTGATGTGTGCTGAGAACAGTGGGCAGACGTAGCCCGGGACATCTGGAGAATTAGATTTCCCTGCTGTGTTTGGGCACAGCTGATGGAAAGTATGTACAAAATGAAGCACTGGCGAAGTCCTGCAGCGAATATATTTCAATTATACCCCTTTAAATGATGAATCATAAAGGTGTGGAGAGTCTCCTCACCCAGTCTCTCCAGGCATTTGTTTTGAGTGCTATTTGTTTTAGATGTGCAGTCGGTGCGCTTGCAGTACAGACAGTTCACGTGGCCACAAATTTTCGGTGCAGATAAGTGAACGTGGAAAGCATGCATTTACTTTTAATCCTGTCTTGGCCTTCCTACAACAGATGCACACTGACGTTCTATGGGGAGGTTGTATAAATACACTACGGCGATGTTCAAAGTGCTGCAGGAAACAATATCTTCTCAATGCGGAGCTGCTCGGCTAGTACAGTCTGTGTGTAGTCTCACTTGTATCACCGAAGAATCGAGAGAATGCGAGTAAATGCCAGTTATGTTCCAAATCATGGGAGAATATCATTAAAACAATCCAGGATGATGCATAACAGGGACTAGCTTTCATGTAAAAGCAGCCTACTGATTGACTGGCTGATTTTTACAGATGAGAAGATGAATGAAGCCGAATAAAGTAACATTTAAAGTAATAGCTAAGATATAATGAGGCGCCCTAGTCATTTAGATTTGACTGCAAGGCGACTGCCCTCTTTCTATTTATCTAGCATTTGTTTATCTCTTTGTGTTATTTGTGCTTTTGGGGTTTATTACAAATGTATATAAAACAATTAAAGGGAGCCACTATCTGTCAATCTTCATTTCTCTGCTACCCTCCACCCCTTATTCTACGTCCGCCCTCGTCCTCTGTCTCTCTATTTCGACTCAAATCACATCAAATCCAATGAGCTTTACTGGAATTGATGTTAAGTTTACATTATTAGCAAAGCAGAGTGCACCTTATTAAATTATAATCTATAACGATATATAGTATACGACAATGTAATGTAATCAGACAGCATGTGGCTGCAGAGTTGCTTTAGCAATAGATGATAAGTGCAGTTGTACATTCATTATTAGACTGATAGTTTATCTCTTTGTGTTATGAATAAAAAGCTCAGAGAACTATCTTAATGGTAAAACACGTCCCACTGGTACACACTATGTGCCATTCAGCCTTCACCGTTACAGAGTGACCAGTTTATATTTGTGCTTGTCACGTCACATGATGTTGACCTGAGGTTTTCTGTCCGTCCACAGCCGGCTCCTGCTTGGACCACCTTTAGAGTCGGCCTTTACTGTGGCGTGTTCCTCGTCTTAATGGTCACTGTGGTCATCACAGGTAACTCACATGCACATTTCTGAACTTCTAATAACACTGTGACATTTATGATGGTGAACTGACTCAGTTTCTACTTCCTGGATTTTGACGGTCAGTGAGCTCTGGCCAGAAATACATTTGGAATATTTTGGCTGTTGGTCACAGCAGAACTCACTGTGGTTTAAGGAAGAGCAAACTGAATCACGGTGTCAAACTTAGGAATGACCAGGAGTTCAGGTTTAAATCTCTTTTTTAATAGCTTTGTTTTTTTCCGTGTCATGACCTGACTTCACTTGAAAAATACTGAACTCAAAATAAGGTTTAAGAAACTAATAAAATGTCTCAATGTCACTTCTAGAGTTGTTAGTACAGATTAAAGATTGTCGAGATCACTGTGAAAATACCTTTCCATAAGCTTTTCTTTGTCCCAGTTCAAGTGACTAAGAAAAGATGCGAGTTATTGTAGCAGGACTCTGGATGACCTCGTTGACCTCCCTGAGCTCCTTTTTTTTTTTTTTGAGAAAGGACACAAAAATAAGTTGTTCAAAAGAAATTTAGGTAAATAAAAACTGGGTCGCGGCATCTGCCTACACTGTAGTTGATAGTCTATTAAAGGAAGAGCGTTTTAGTTCTTCCAAAGATGATTTTGTTTTCTATCTCAATTCTTAGCTGTTTTTTTGAAATGATTATGAAATGGAATAATAAAGTGAAAGGGAGGGCAGACAAAAACTTACCACCTGTTTTTCATTTTCTTCTTTCTAAAAGCCAACATAAATGAGATTTCTATATCCAATTTGCATTTTATTTTTGTTCATTTCATTAAACTTAAACTTTTTACACTTCAAAATATTCTCCTTGTTTTGTTTTTGGTTGACTTCTAATTTTCTCTGAAATCACATAATGGACAAATGTGGGTTTTGGCAAAAACTTACATGTAAAAGCAAATTTTTAATTGGTTAATCCAGGTATCAATTCTCTGCTGCTTTTATGGGTCCATCTATGGACAGATTATGAAACTATGGGAGTCAGAAAGAAACACACACAACTGATTTTGTGTTTTTTTTTGTGGTCATTTTGTGTCTGTTTATGGTTCTTTTAGATTTATTTTTTTTGCAGTTTTGAGCTTCTTTCCTCTTGATTTTTATCTGTGGTTCTTTTGTGTCTCCTTGTGGTTTTGTGACTCTTTCTGGTTCTTTTGCATCTGTTCATTGTTCTTTTGTGTCTCTTTATGGTTGTTTTGTTTGTCTCTTTGTGTTTCTTATGTGTCTGTTTATGGTTCTTTTGTGTCTCTGTGTGTTTTTTGCGTCTCTTTAGGGTTATTCTGTGTCTCTGTGGTGGTTTTGTGTCTCTCTCTGTTTCTCTTGTATCTGTTTATGGTTCTTTTGTGTCTGTGTGTTTTCTGCATCTTTAGAGTTCTTTTGTCTCTCTTTGTAGTTCTTTTGTGTGTCTTTGTATTTTTTCTTGTCACTGGCAAACAACAACTATTTTTCCTGATTTAAAAGTGACCTCATACAGGTTCTCTGATCAGAGGGTCCCCTAAACTTGCAGCCTGTAGGCATGTTCTGTACTTTATAAAGATCAATGTTGATTGAATAGTTGTGTAACTGACAGTTATTGTTAAACACAGTTTGGAAGTACACGCAAAATGTAATATCAATTTAATAAATTTAATTAATTATTAAAAAATTATACACATTATTTGTCTTCCATCATTCTTTTAGAAGTATGACTGTGAAAGAGGTATTAAATTGGATTTTATGAGGCTTTAAAAGTTTCTAGTTTAATAGGATGACACTGTCAAAATAGTTTTTGTCATTGACATTGTGTTGCATATTATTTCAGTAGAACAAATGAGATTTTTCTTTTTTTTTTTTCAATGATTTTTACTCTACGATGTTCTTACCAATGCAGCAAAATGTGATGCTATACTGGCATGACCTGGTTTACCACCTGCTCAGAGGATCCAAATTCATCAGTGACGTTTCAGAAGTAGTAACGTAGTGGTCAATCACATGGTACTGATATTTAAATGTTCTCACTCTCCCTTCTTTCATTGTTCTTCTTCATTGCTGTCTCTCTCTGTCACACTATCTTCCCATCTGTCTCTTTGATTAGGAGCTGTGTTGATCCGTAGCTCTGATGTTTGGCCTATGGTCAGGATCTACAGAGGAGGCTTCCTGTTAATAGAATTCCTCTTCCTATTAGGTAAACACACACGTACTGTGCACGCTTAGACGCTAGATTGGGAGCCAAGTTTCCCTTCATTCATTTCAGGACAAAGAAATTCCTCAGCACTCGAAAACGGGTTTAGTCGTACTGTTGTAATTCCTTGAAATAAATATCCTCAACTCACTCAGTTTCACTAATACTCTACATGCACTAAGGTTGAATGCATTCCTGTTTTTGCTTTCATGTTTTTGTCTTCCAGGCATCAACACCTACGGCTGGAGGCAGGCGGGAGTCAATCATGTGCTTATATTTGAGCTCAACCCCAGAAACAACCTGTCACACCAACATCTGTTCGAGGTCAGCGCACACACATGCATGCAGCAACATGCCTCCTAGACACACTCAGGTCACAGTTAACATGTTGGATATCCATTTGCCCTTCAAGGTCTCAGGCTTTATTCCCCTCAGCCACACCATGAAAGGACGTCATGCTAATAAACACTGTGACTGATTTATTCTGTGTGTTTGTGCAGATTGCAGGTCTGTTGGGGGTGCTGTGGTGCGTCAGTCTGCTGTCCTGCCTCTTCAGCGACAGCATCCTGGTACCGATGCAGGCCAACCCTCTGGCTCTCTATGGCTTCTTCCTCCTCTTTCTCATCAACCCCTTCAAGACCTGCTACTACAAGTCACGCTTCTGGCTGCTAAAACTCCTGGTAACGTCTCTCAATGAGAAATCAGTTTAGATGTTTTTCTGTTACTTTCCAGAAAGGTTAAAAACCTACTTTTGTGCGTCACAGCATGCAAGTTCTAAGTACCAAATAAAAGGCTCTTGACTCATTCGTTTACTGACTGAAATGATAAGTTACATTATCTCATGCTTTCACTGATTTGAAAAGCTAAATCCCACCATGGATCTGTTCCATCTGCTTTGTGTTGTTGAGAAGAGAACGTCATCCTGCTGTCTGTCTTCCTCCACAGTTTCGAGTGGTCACGGCTCCGTTTCATCGTGTTGGATTTGCGGACTTCTGGCTGGCTGACCAGCTGAACTCTCTGGGGGTGGTTCTGATGGATCTGGAGTACATGATCTGTTTCTACAGTTTTGAACTGGACTGGAAAAAACACGACGGACTCATCAGCAAAGGTGAGACTGTCCGATGGAAAAAAAAAACAACCTGTGATATCTACTGTGGATTTCAAAGCCGGGAAAAATAGCTGAAACTGTTGAATGTCATCCTGTTCAGGTAAAGACGTGTGTAATACTTACTCCTACGGCGTACGTGCGGTGATCAAGTGTCTTCCTGCCTGGTTCCGATTCGTCCAATGTCTGCGGCGTTACCGTGACACCAAGCGGGCCTTCCCTCACCTGGTGAATGCTGGGAAATACTCTACTTCCTTCTTTGTCGTCACCTTCTCTGCCCTTTACAGCACACATAAAGGTAGACTCACACGCCACTGTTTTGATTTCACACCCTCATTTGTCAAATGACTGATTTAGCAGAAATTATAAAACGTGGTTTCTAAATATATTTAATCGTGTTTAAGATGTTTTCCTGTTTACTGAAATGTTCCAGTTTTGATTAGCTCTAAATGCAAATCGGACCTAATGCATCCCCCATGTTTATCTGTTGTCTAAATTAGCTCCGTATAAAGTACATTTCCACATCACTAATTCCTTCCCCAACAGGAGTCATGACATGCTCACTTCTGAAGAGAAAGCAACAAGAATTGCAGCTGATTGCACCACACAGCTAGACTCACATTTACAGCAAGACTGCAGAAAATTAAGACAATCAGTGTGATTTCTACATTTTTTCATTCAATGATCAGATATTATCAGTCAAGCTCAAAAATTGTCATCTGGTAGGCTTAAAATGTGACTCCATAAAGATTATATTTTGCATATTTCTTTTCTTTTTCTTAGTGTCAGTCTGTGAAGGTCATAAGTACAACAACAAAATACAATATTTTCTCTTTGACCATCAACAATAATACTGTGGTGAGGCATAGATCAGGACAAGAGTTTAGAACTTTTATAAAGCACTGAGTGTTCCAGAAACAATGTCCACTCAATAACTGTAAAATGGAAGGAACAGATTCTTGGTCAGGGAGGTGATCAAGATTTTACTAAATTATTACTGAATCAAATGTATGTGGGTTACTGAAAACACATGAAAAGAAGTTTGTTTTTTTAATCATATAAACCTCCCTACACCTCCTCTCCTCAGATGAATCCCCGGCTGAAGCCAAGATCTTCTTCTATTTGTACATCGGCTGTTTAGTGGTCAGCTCATGTTACACACTGGTTTGGGATCTAAAGATGGACTGGGGCCTGTTTGACCGCAACGCAGGAGAGAATACCTTTCTGAGAGAGGAAATAGTCTATCCACACAAGGTATTTGTCTATATAAGAAGGCCCCATCGTATATATATATATATATATATATATGCAGCATATAATTTGCCATGTAATGATGTGTTGACAGCTGTATTGTTCTGTTCTCTGCGTCTCCTTTCAGGCCTATTATTACAGTGCCATAGTGGAGGACGTGCTCTTGCGTTTTGCGTGGGTTTTAACTATTTCCCTCACGACACTCACTGATTTTCACGGCATCTCTGACATACTGGCTACAATCCTGGCTCCATTGGAGGTGTTTAGGTACGCAATACTACTTACTCTTCTGTCTTTAATCATTTTGTTATAATCCCATTTTTTCTTCCTCCCCAACGTATACTCAGCCTTTCTGCTCGCCTATTGCACATTAAGCACCATATTAACAATGGCATACCAGTGTTTTCAAAACTGTAGGCCTGGATCTGCTGGGCTGACAGCAGTAAATAATTAAAGCCAAGACAAAATGTATCATTTAGAACGTGTGAGTAAAACGGGTAGATAACGGTCAGTGCTTGTCCTTCCCAGACGTTTCGTGTGGAACTTCTTCCGATTGGAGAACGAACATCTGAACAACTGTGGTGAGTTCAGGGCCGTCAGAGACATCAGCGTGGCTCCACTCAACGCTGACGACCAGACCCTGCTGGAGCAGATGATGGACCAGGAGGACGGAGTCAGGAACCGGCAGGGCAAGAAGAGCTGGAAGAGGAGCTACAGCATGAGTCTACGCAGACCAAGACTCGCTTCCCAGTGAGCATTAATATATGATCCCTAATCACAACCGCACTTGATCATAATCAGTGTTGTGTTATCGAGTTCTTCCCAAGGTCTGCCCACTTTCATCTGTGCTGACTCCTTACTAAATCAAACAAGGCAGTGCACATACTGTTGAGAAATCAATAATGTCAAGCGATCAGAACACCTTTTTATAATGAATCTAAAGTGTACGAATTTAGCTTTTAGGGCAACAAAGAGAAGCTGTGATGTCTCTGATTTATTGTGTCATACTGAAAATCGATTTGGTAAATCTTTCAACAAGTTTATAAATGTTAGCTGTAATTCAAATATTATGCTGATAACAGTAATATCTCTTTGCCGCACAGGCAGCGTCAGTCATCAGAAGACAGTCAGAATGTCTGCTGTATTATTAGAGAAAAAGACGTTTGTTTCAGTTACATTTTTCTGAAGCCTCGTAAGCTTATCTAGCTTTTTTACTGGCTGAAATATCCAGATAACATTTCCTGTTATTGCTGAGAGATAGTTAGCAAGCAAGCAAGCAGCTGAGCTGAGACACAGAAAATATGTTTTTAGGTGATACTGACATCATCACACAGTATAGTTTGTTTTGTTTTTTTTAAATTTGTGTTTGAGCCCCCCATGTGAAATGTCTTCTTTGTTATAAATATTTTTTTTCTCCAGGTGTTACAGTTGAAAGAAAGAATGAAACTCAGTGTTTTGATTGTTGAAATTATTGCGAATTAAGAATTGTGTGCACCCCTAATATGGGGAGGTAATTATTTAGTATGCAGGTGACTGATTTGAACGCTGCTTTATATGCTGTGTATACTCTCTGTAGGGGTTCACACTATAAGTACTTTCTTCGTTGTGCCCCCTTCAGGTCCAAGACTCGTGACACCAAGGTTTTGATTGAGGACACCGACGATGACTCCTGACATCAGGCCACGCCCCTCGCCTGGGTCCAGAATTTATTCAAAGGAGGAAACTCCACCTCCTAACTGAGGAATTACCCAGCGAGCGGGCGTTGAACTCTCAACCAAGAATGAGTTTCAAACTCTCATGCCTACGTAATCTTCACTCCAATGCATGAGCCTTGGCTTGGGTTCAGAACTATTTCAAGGGAAGAAACTTCACCTCTTGAACAAACAACCCAGCTACGTGGCCATCCTACCTTCAATAGTAACCAATGGTGGGCTTATCACTTAAACTCTACCTTACACAAGCAGTGGGTGAAAAACCTCTCTCCCTGACATCAACAGCCACCCAGAGGTGGACTCTTTAACTACACCCACTCCTCAGCCATTGCTTGGGCTCTCCTCAAAGCCTCAGCCTAGCATGAACAACGCAGCTACATGGAACTCAAGCTGAACATCCTGATATGAAGTGTCCTGCGCCCAAATGGTGCCACACAACCCCCACACAGGGAGAGGCCGACAACGTCAAGCCTACTGCTGTTCTTTAGCTATTAGCGTCCTACACTCCCAGCATCCAGGTTACGCTTTGACAGAGGCCTTGAATAAATTATGTCCTATTGGCACCTCAAGAGATTTGAAGTCAATCTGTAATTTGAACCCTGGAATATACAAGAAGCCCTTTTTGCCACAAAAAGAGAACATAAAGGGTTGGAAAGTGTCCTCCTCCTACTGCTATGTTTATGGTGACAACAGACAATGCTGAAAAACAGCTGATAACGCCAATAGGTCACTGGCTTGACTCCCTTTGCTCTTCAGCTTTCCCCCTTCAAATCATCACAGAGCTGCCTACCTGCACCTTACACGCTTTAGAAATATACACAACACAGAAACACGCACTTTGTTGGAAAAGTGAATCGGAATGGAATGCCTCTTGTGTGTTCACACACACACAAACAGTGATTTTAATTTGTTTTATTGTTGATGGACGTGAAACACTTGGCCATTATTCCTATTGAGAGCCTGGGAAGAAGACACACATACACATAGACTAGCAATTATTTGTACTGTGCTTGTAAATATGAGACGGACCAAAGTAGAAGGAGGTGTGAAAACATTCAGAAAATATCAAATAGGAAAAAAAAAAAGAAAAAAAAAGTGAAGTGCTGAGCTCAGACTGTATGGAACAGCAGCTGGAATGACTGTTCAGCCATGGAGCTGAGAAGGATTTTTTGTTTTTGGAAAAAAGATGAAGATCATCTTATTCATCCTATGGTAACTCTCACTCGCCCTATGTGAAGAATATCCTCCATTGGGAAGTAGTTCTGCTGAATGTATGTTGACTTATTTGTGCATGTATGAGTGGGAGAGATTCCTCAATACCACCCGTCAACTCGTTTAAGATTGAAGATGTGTTCCAAGGAAATTTTTCTTCGTTCCCTGAAGTCTTGATTGAAAAACTAAAGACTGTTTGATTGGAAAGTGTTGGTTTATAAAACACTAGTTCTTGTCAATGAAACTGGTTGATTGAAATGTGATGATGATGATGATGATGATGAAAAGAGAAGAGGTCACCTATCTGTCACCTTCTGGTTTAAACTGTCACTGTCAAAATGTTGGTATAGTTCAACTTAAATCCCAGTGAAGTGGCTCTTGGAGAGAATCAGATTGGCTACATGCAGTGCCTATAAAAAAGTATTCAACCCCTTTGGAAATTTTTCCCTTTTATTGTTTTTCAACCCTGAATAATGGTCGAATTTATTTGCTGGTTTGACAAGAATTTACAAAATACACGTAGGTATTCACCCCATTCAAGTTGGTATTTATTGAAGAGACCTTTGGCTGCAGTTACAGCATTGAACCTGAGTTAACAGCCTTTTTCAAGTCCAGCCACGAATTCTTAATTGGATTGAGGTCTGAGCCCTGATTTAGCCTCTCCGGAACATTCACCTTGACAAGCTGCACCAGGTTGTCCTCCAGGATTTCTCTATTCTTTGCTGTAGTCTCTACCTTTACTAGCCTTTCTTGACCTGCAGCCAAGAAGCATCCACACATGATGATGCTGCCGCCACCATGCTTCACAGTGTGGATGGTATGTTTGTGATGATGTGCAGTGTCTGGTGTCCGCCAACTGTAGTGTCTAGTCTGATGGCCAAAAAGCTTGATTTGGGTCTCTTCAACCAAAGAACCTATACATTTAATTAGTTTGATGTTAAACTGACAATGATTCAAGGTTGAAAAGCAGTTAAAGAGGAAAACTTCCAAGTTCGGTGAGGCCTTACTGTAGCCACTGTACATTCTGGTGTAACTCAGGTTTAACAGGCAGTTACATTTGGTTCAAGGAAATAACATGTTGACACAAAGTTATTTTAATACGTTGTATGTTCAGTATATCATAATCTTGATGATATAATTGTGCGTCTATTTTACATCGTCAGATGGCAGGGCAGTCATCCTGGTAATGGTAGTCCGAAACGTTTCAGTTGAAGGTCTCTGAACTTTTTCTTTTGGTTCTTGAAAATGTTTAACCTCTCATCCAAGAGGCCTCCACACTTGTGACTAGTCAGTAGTCCTGGGTATTTGTTCTCACCCTCCAAATCACATGACTCATTGCCATTTAACAACCCTAGACGTAAAGTGTTGGGAGTGGTGAAACGGCCTCAGAGCTGTAAACCCCCTCCTCTGTTTAGACATGGCTGCTCCAGTTTAACAGGTGTTTTTATTCACTCCTCTCTCAAACCTTCTATCTTCTCTGCCTATCTTATAAACATTTCTGTTCTCAACGGAGTGTCCCTTATCCTTTTAGATGGAGGTGGACTGCTGAGTCTTGTCCTGAGGAGCTGGCTCTTCTGTGTTGTGCCATGCACTTGTGGAACAGGTGTTTTGTCCCTCCTGTATACTGGTCTGTTGACTCTGGTTGCATTGAAGTGTACATACACCTTGAGTCATCCCTTTCCAGGCAGTTTCCCAACAGTTCACTTCTTACGTCAAGTATGTCTTGGACTGTTAAGAAACTGTCAGCCTTCTAATTGGGGTGAGGAAAACATACCTGGGACTCCTCACTAGTCAGAACTAAGGAAACTTCTTGGGGGAGAGGCGAAACATCTACAAGAACCAAAAGAGAAGTCTAGGTACCTTGTACTGAATCAACTGAACCAGGTTTTTATTTGACATTATTTTGAATATTCTTTATTCCTAATGTCACCTATTTAACAGTTAATGCATACCCCAAACTTCCTCCATGTTTACTTATTGTCTTAATACATTCAGCATTCTGTACATTTCTACAGCATTCTAGGAACAAACTCTGCTGCTCTAAATTTCTCTTTTCCAAAAGAAATGTTAGTTTCATTTAACAGGTAATTTCAGTACTTTCGCTTTCCTGGTTGACTGACGGCAGCTTAAGATCAGACGGAAAATGTAGAAAAGCTGAAATGAGTAGGTTGATGAAATGGGACAGCAGAGTGGTGTATATAACATGAATAGGTAATTCTTATGGAGTTAGTACTGCAGAAATGTACATTTTACCCCATCACTATTTTCTTGCTTTTCTTTTTTACCTTTACATGTTAATTGTTCTGGCAGTTTATGTGACTACCTTCATTTAAATACTGATTTCTGTATAACAAGTAGTAGTTTTCTATTCTAGCTGGTGGTTCAGGGGGCTTAGCTGTGGCTTGACAGTTCTCAATCAGCAATAGGTTACACACAAATACCATCACATCATCTGCATATCGTTAAACTCATTTCAGGAACTCGTCGTCATTGCGTTGACACTGTTGGCTGTCGTGTTCATCTTTGTCGCCAAACCATTAGAGCCGCAAAATAAAATCTTCTGTTGTTGGCTTAAGAAGAGTAGTTGTAAGTAAATTGGAGCAGAGGCTTTTCTAAATGTTTCTAATAGAGTGAGATGACTTTCATTGCTTTCTTTTCACATTCCAAAAACATGGTTGAAACACTTGCACTGTATGTTGCTTGTTGGTTCAACATCAGGTTACGATGAGTTCTTACAGAAACTATTAGAATGTGTTAAGATTTTAGTTTTCTAATATTTTTTATTTATCAGATATATATTGTTCTGCATTCATGGTAATGAATTAGATGATAGCTTGTGTATGCAATTTGAAGTGGTCGACTTCTGATGTTCTCCAAAAAAAAAAAAAATAACCCTGATTGAAATCAGTCCCCAGTGAGCAATAAGAGTCTCTCAAGGATTACATGCACTTTAACACCAAACTTCGTTCTCCCGTGTTTTTGTCTTCTTGTTGAAGACCTGCAGAATGCCATTTAATTTCCAGTTTAGTTTTAATTTCTGTCATCTTAGCTTAACAGTTGTTGTTGTTTTTGTTTATTTAAATATACAGTTAAACAGCTAGTGCCTCAGAACAAATCATTTCATGAAGATAACTTGACTTTTGAATCTTTTGAATTGATGGGATTTTGGTTTAAGTGACAGCAAATAAGTTACAGTGAACAGGATATAGAGGATTATAGGCCATCAGTAATGCTACACGTATAATGTCTCATCAGCTGTGTGAAGTTATTGTCCTGCTAGCAATGAAGGTGAATCAAATGAGCTGTGGGTGTGCTAATGACTGGTAGCATCTTGGTTGGCTTGGAGGGCTCCACTTTCTCTCTTCTGTGACTTTTACAGAATGAAATGGTGTACAATGGAGAGCACAGAACACCATCTACACCAGCTAGGCCTGCATGTGCAACCTCTACGTTAGCAAGTCCAAATATTTGAGTTATTCAATTGGCGGAATCACTTTCTGGTGTGACAAGGCCTTAAAAGCGTCACCGTGTAGCGAGCTGATAAGAAGACAATCAGTTTCGGCAGTGCAGGAGGTAGCTCAAGGTTTCTACTTGTCCAGGGTGAAGCTGTAAACTGACACAAGCTTGAGCGAGAAAAAGTTGAAGTTTAAAGACACGTTTTAACATCACCAAGCACCATGCTGTCCCTGCATGGTTGCACTTGTCCTCTTCCTGCTTTCATTGTTGCAGTGATTTTTCTTAGAATACTGGTTTGACTTTGGTTTGTTTTGTTCAGTATGGGTGAAGTTTAAAAAGCCATTTTAAGACGTAAGAGTAGCTTTCGACAGCATGTTGGTATCACATTGGACAGTGAACGCGCTACTGAGTTTTCTGCTCTTTTTAAAAAAAAAATTTTTGCAGGTCATGGTTTGTTTCTTTCACAAACACACACACACATATACAGATAGCTATAAAAATGAGAGCAACAGGTTTTTCCTCGTGTACATAACTGTCAATCAAAGAACATTTCTGTCTTTTTGCAAAGCGACATGATCGTTCCATCCAAAGAGTACAGCGTCCTTTGTTCAGGACTTTTATTTTGGTAACACCTCAGGTTCTCATGTTGACACACAAATTAGGTTATTGCAAAGCCATTCCTGCATTACCAGCAGCATATTCCACAGTGACAGGAGAGTGGGAGATGAGATGTGATTAAGATTTGTTCTCAGGATATTGTGAGCACATTTGCACCTTAACCAGTTATTTCACACAGAAGCTTCCTGACTGCCTCTCACCCGCCTCCACTCCTTTTTCTCTCGACAGCCATTATTTTATGAAAGCACCATTTGAAACCTCATTCCAAGATTGTGTTTGTTTCTTACACCCAGAGATCTGCTTTATTTTCTGAATGCGCATCCAAATCCAGGAAATGGACCAAATAATGTGGTTTACCACAAAAGTCATTTTCAGGTTTCTTTTGATTAATTTATTTTTCTTTTATTTCTTTTTTTTCTTTCTGCTTCAGTCATTTTAACATTTCAGCTGCTGGCAGGCTGACTAGGCTCTGACTGATTTGAAGTTCTCTTCCTGCATTCCAGATGATGACACACACTTCTGTTAAACAATGAAATACAGATTTCCAGTAAATATGTTTGACACTGTGACAGACAGGTGACGTCCTCTTCCCTCTTCAGATGAAATCCATCGGTAGAGATTAGGCCTGGGTATCAAACCTCAATATTATTTTGGTATCGTCAAAAATGTGTCGGTATCACAGAGAGCCAACGATGAATGTGGGTGCTCCAGTTTGTGATTCTTGTTACTTGTTCTTTGTTCATGTAGTTCCAGATTCAACTCAAAATGCTGCCAATCTTGGGCAAAATTGTTGTGTTTGGTAGACATTTAAACAAATGTGGAAGCCTTGTTAATATTTCATCATACAGTTTCTGAAACTTCTGCATGGTATTGTGTGTCGTATCAAAAAATGTTGAGTGATACCCGGCCCTAACCTCGAGTGGTGGAATCTGCTGGACCAAACACATGTTCTTTCAGAATGTCGGAGGAATGTTTCAATGTAACTCTGTCTGTTTTCTGCCAACTGATTCCCAACATGTCACTCTGTACTAACTGATTCTGTCCAAGAGCTCGCTCAACCTTAAGAAAACTGTGGAGTTTAATGTACTCACCAGAAAGCCGTGTTTTGGGACGACTGAGTGGTCACTGGCTTTATCGTGCTGTGTTGGGGGGTGTTATGCTGGGTTCAGACTGCAGGATCATCTTGTCTGATAAGATGTTAGATAAACAGAGATAGAGTCATAAATGAGAGACTAGAGAGACCACGTACTGGTTCTTCACCAATCATCTGTCATTAAGAAGAAGGTGCAAGAGACCAACATCCAGACACAAGAAGATACTGACATTGGACAGTGTGGGTCATCTAAGCCCATCTATTGTGTACAGAAAAAAGCTCTTGGCTCATTTAGAGCTATAAAAGACATTGTATAAGTTGTTGAGTAATGTCAGAGAAGGTTTTAAACAGTTCTTTCATTTTGGTCTGTTTGTAAAACGTCATGATGTGTCCAAACTTCATCATCTGTTGTTGTCAACAATGATCCACTTCATGAGATAAAACTATTGGTTGTCGAGGCTGAACTTTTCGGCGGTCAGACTACTTTCAAAAGTATTTCATTGCCAGACATGCCTCCACTACATTGTGTCAGCAGTGGAGAATGGTCTGACTGCACCTCATTAGTAGTCATTTTACTATAGAGGAAAAACTGTCTGGCTTGTTTATATTTCACTGAAATGACCACATTGATCTTAGATGGAGCTAAGCCCCGGATGCAGCAACAGTGTCCCTGCAAAATAGTTACAGAGGAATTGTTTGGTGGAACATTTGCATACATTAAAAATGGGCAATTCACTGAAAAAACAAGCAGGGCTGCCTTACTGTGTGATCCAGATGTGTAGCAAAACTTGGTGTTAGGTTGTTTCCTGTAGTGAGGGGGATTTGGAAGACAGCAACACGCAGATAGATGAAAGTCACATTACGTAGGCAGTGGAAATGGAAGACTTACACCTGAAGGCTACATCTGGCGAGTCAGACTACTCTCCTGCTAATATCATGCAGTCTGAACCCAGCGTTCGATCCACACATGAAGGATGATGTCACGTTTCTGAACAGAACAGAGGGATTTAATGAAGTTGTTTAAATATGTTGTCACAATCTGAAGATCTCTGCAGAGGAAATAACTCAGCCGGCAGCTCCAAGGTTACCTGTCTGCAGATCTGCAAGCGTCAAAAGGAAAACAGGGTTGTTGCTGAAGCCTGAACTGAAGCTCAGTTTCCCATGGCAACACTGTCCACTACTCCACAAGCCTCCACTCCAAGGCTTTTTATTCTTCAAACAAAGCGTCATGAATTTCTGAAGCCTGACCTTTCAAATCGTTTGTTGTTTGGTGACCCTGTGAGGACGCCGTGTGTTCTCTGGTCTGCCTGGAACACTTGCTGGTCATCGGTCGTCATCATCATCCGGTCTTCATCGACCCACTGGGCCCCTGCAGCATGGAGCCTCTCAGAGGAGGAAAATCCAGGGACGTGATTTATTTTCCCCGTGTTTCACCGTCTTCTGATGAACTTTGAAAGTAATTTGACTCGGCTGAGATACTCCATGATGTGAGACACATGGTGCTCAGTGGCCCAAAGCTTCTCGGTGTGAAACATAAAATCGATCAAAACTCTCCGACACACACAGTTGAAGCAAAATTGAACCAGAGGACTTGTTGTGGTTGGTCTCCATGTACCTGAACCTGTTCATTTTTATGATTGAAAACACAAAGAGAGCATTTTTAATCCACATTGTGACCCCACTGCAGCGTGACCCAGAGCTGTTGATTATACAATACATCATTTATTGATGAATATGTTGATTAGAAGCATTGTATAATCGGTGACTGTGCTGTGGGTGTTGTCTTGTATGTACAGTAGCAGCGTGATGCTACAGAGGTGCCTGGTTCACCAACCCCTGTTACAGTTTTTCAGTAAAAACAGCTAAAGCTCAAAAACGTTGGTGAATGTGAGTCTGATTATTTTCTTTTTGTTACATATTTTTGTCGTCAACATTTTGGCATGATTAGATTTGTCTGTTTTGGTGTCAAAACTCCACCAGAGGATCTCAGGCTGCACCCAAGCCTCCATCAACATGGTGTCTAAAGCCAGCACAGGGTGAGAGGAGGTAGAAACATTGTTGAAAGAGTTCAAGACAGATTTAAAAAAAAGTGTTTTAAATATGATTAAAGGCTCTCTGATAAATGTTTGTTTTAAGAAGACATTTAAAAGAGGTCACTGACTCAGCCGAGCTAGTTGTCAGGTAAACTGTGCCAGAGCCTCACGTCTGAAGGCAAAATGGTCAATATTTAACAAAAAGCAAAGAGGAAGTTCCAGACCAGTGTTACGCCTCCTTGACTACACGAGCGGCTGTGTAACATAAATTTTGCAATTTCCCAAAGTTGCAAGAGTCTCGTGCAATTCAGTTAAATTCAGTTTTATTTAAATGGCACCAGTTTACAATATATGAAGAGTTCATTTGCAAAAAAAGATAACTCCATTTTTGTAGATTTTTAGAAAACTTTTTTTTAATGTTTGCTTGAGATAATACTCATCAAAGTGAGTTGAGTGGATTTGACTCAGAAGAAATGACATAAAAATAGAGATCACTTAAGTCTGATTGTTATTGTCTCAGGTAGATGGTGGAATAGTGGGTTTTCTGAAGGTTTGTGAAGATGGCGTTGTCTGTTTTTGCAAATGAACTCTTCATTTGTCATCTCAAGGCCCTTCAGAGGCTAAGACTAAGGTAAGACTTTACAAAATCAGGTAGAGAATCCCAACAAATCCAAACAGCTGGGAAGATGAAGTCCCCTTTAACAGGAAGAAACTTTAGGCAGAACCAGACTCAGACTATTTGTTGCTTGAGTCAGAGTCCATGAGTAGAAGTAGTAGTCCTGGTTTTTCTTTGTGTGTGTGTGGTCATTTTTTATTTAACATTACCCTGAAGTTTTATTTTTCTTCTTTGTGGTATATGTTTCAATTCTTTATCCTACATTTATTATGGTGTTTTATTCTATTGCATACTTTGCACCTTTACTTGCTGGATGAAGCATAGCTGTAGCGTGGAACTGCTAAGAGTTAGTCTTCGTCCTATAAATGGCTGTAGGAGGTTTCGGAAGGCTCATGAAGATCTTTCAAATGTTAACCACAGACAGTCTATAGCATAATAATAATAGTCACATACAGTCTATGATGTCAACCATGTTTTGGTGCAGTAACGGCTGTTGACCAGCAGGGGGACATGTTGCAGTGTTTTCTGAATGTGGCTTCAAGAGTTGATTCTCCAGAAAAGACTGCTGGTGATTTGGTTTATAATTAGGAAAATATAGTTATAGTGTAAACTTGAACACTAAAATACAGGAAAATGCAGCAATAAATTCTTCCAGTATTTAACTGTTTATTGCATATTGTGAGTAACACTAAAATCACTATATAGTGTGTGATTAACTTGCATATTGATCTAGCCTTAGATAGATAGATAGATAGATAGATAGATAGATAGATAGATAGATAGATAGATAGATAGATAGATACTTTATTAATCCCCTTGGCAAAATTCAACATATCGGGTGGCTCACACAAGTTAGATTCAAAAAAGATCAGGAAACCAATAAATGTGCAAATCATGCTGTTGGAAAACATAAGGTGCCAGAATTGCTGATATTTACAGTCAAGGTGCAGAACTGTATTTAAAACCCAAAGCACAGTGGAAAACAGAACTAATAATAAACATGTAGTATGTAGCATATAGTTTATTTATCCTCTTGGGGAAATTCAAGGTACCCAGTGGCTCACACATGTTACATTTAAGAGAAATCAGGACAAAACAATCCTAAAATAATAATGTGCTAATTATGCTGATAGAAGGGGTAAGGTGCGAAATCATGCTGATATTTACAATAGAAAGAGTTTTGAGTAGTCCAAAAACAGTATAATAACAAGTACCACTCTACTTCTCACTACTTCTTGTGCCTGTGTGCTGGTCTGACCCGCCCCAGTCCCTCTGGTTGCCCCATGAGGCCACCTCCGTAGTTAAAGCTCTGGAGCCGCCCCTGGTCCTCACCGTGTTCTGGGACACTCGGTCCAGCCCTCCTCCGTGTCTCTCTCCGTCTCTCTCCCCGGGACTCTCCAGCAGCGGCCCGCCGGCTGCAGTGACATGTTAGCGGACCAGGGTGCGACATGAACGGGCCTCAGCTCAGTGAACTCCCGGACGCCGCGGAGCAGCTCAGGCCGTATGTGAGCAGCCTGAGGCGGGAGGCGCTGCAGGCCGAGGAGCTGTCCGACGTCCGGAGCTTCTCCGACGGATTCCTGATCAAGTTTCTGCGGGCCAGAGACTTCGACGTGGAGCTTTCTCTGAAGGTAAACAGAGCAGGTCCGCCGCTGGAGCTGGCTGATTGAGCAGAAACTAAACCGGAACTTTAGGAAAGTTAGTTTGTACTTGTGTGGATGTTTTCTGTACTTTGTGTGATTGTTTGTGGAGCAGCAGTCTGCAGCAGATCTGGTGGGACTTCATTCTTTATTCATTCTTTGACCTCTTCAGACTTAAACAGGTGATCAGGATCAGAGGTCCACTTGCTGCTGATGTTTTCTGTGTTGCATTGATTTACTGAAGCATGCTTTAATCTTTAAGTCACTGAGCCCCTATCGAGCCTCACTGTAAACTACAGGCCATCATATCTTCAACACACACAAACGTACCTTCTGCCTGCACTAAAGCTCAAAACTGACAGAAAATTAATTGTCAACACTTTTAATAACTGGTTTATGACACCTTTTGTTCTTTTCTGCTGCTTTTTATTTATTTATTTATTTATTTATTTATTTAGACTTCTGCTCAGACAACCTCAAAGCTCATTTAATATGTCAATATGAATGTAATGTTATAAAACAGTATTTTTATTTTCATTATTTTATTCTTCTTGTGTGTTTCTCAAAGCCGGCTTTAAAAAAAAAAAAAGGTAAATGACAAAAGTAAAAGCAGCAGCAAAATAGAAGCGATGTACAAATGTACAATATTAGAATAAAATAAACACATGAAATTAAAAGCACTCTGAAAATACGGAAATAAAAAATACCTTTAGTAGGTATCGCACATATTTAATAGTGTACAGTAGGAATATTGCACATGTTGGTTTGTAAATATGGTATTTTTCTACAATCAAGCGATGATTAAATAATAGTCTATAATACCAAATAACCAACATTCCCCTACAGCTACAGTGCATCTACACACTGCTTCCTAATGCATAATTCAAACCAATTTGAATTTATTTGAACAGGTTTCCTGTAGCCCCCCACTCACATTTAAAAAAACAACCAAAAAAAAACAATCACCTGAAGTGGATTTATGAGCCTGTCACCTGACAAACTGGCAAGATGATAAACACTGCAATTTGGACTCTAATTTCACATTTCTTTTTTTGTTTTGTTTTGTTTTGTTTCTCATTTTAAAAGTGTGCAAGCAGTCACAGATGGTTGGTGAAGCCATTTGTTTAATTTCTCTGCATTTTCACACACACAAAAGAAACTATTACAGTTCTAATACAACCTGGACTGAGATTTCTTCATTATTATTTGCTTGACTTACAGAAAAAAACAGAAGCACTTTGATAAGAACACTGTTTTGCAACAGATGTGCTCTTGGGATTGTCTCAGTGATGTTGGACGGCACAATGTTTTCCTCACTTCAGTAACCCTTGATTCTGCTCATGTGGACCGTGTTTTTCAGAAACTTTGGAGTTCTGTTTGATTCAAATCTAACTTTCAAACCGCAGATCAAAAACTAGTTCCTTCAGTCACGAACCATCTCCAGGAAATGAGCCGATGTTCGCTCATTATGTCATTCAGACACTTATTTCCTCCAGCCTCGATTACTGTAACGCCCTCATGTCTGGCATGAATCTAAAGTCAAGTCTCTCACCTCCAGCTGGTTCAGCAACAACAACAACAACAACAACATTACTTCACCTCAGTCCTGACTTCTCTCCCTCAGCTCCTTGTTTGTTTTAGAATTGATTTTAAGATTTTGTTCATCTATTTAAAGCTCCTCTTGGTCTGGTCCCAAGCTGCAGAGCTGAAATGTTGACCCCAAATGATCCATCTTTCATCCTGAGGTCCTCACATGGAGTTCTTCTGGCCGCTCTAAAGTTGAGGATTAAATCTGAAGGTGTTTAAGCCGTCAGTGCTGCTCACAGAATAATACCCTTGTTTTAAATCACTTCTTAAAACCAATTTTACACTCTTACTTTTAAGTGACGTTTTCTTTTTTTTTGCTTATTAGGGCACTTTTTTTTATTATTAATATAGAAATCTTATCTTTTTGCATTTGTCATTCTAATGCTTCACTTGCCTTCTAGCTGTCCTGCTCTTGTTCAGTCTGTCAAAAGTGATATATATTAATGAAGTTATTCTTTAATGAAGCTTTTCAATCGAGGTTTTGACACAATAACAGTCTAAAAAAATGAAGACAGAGAGGCGGGGACCTTCATAGTTGATGTTCGATGGTGCAAATTTCTGTCAATTTTGGGTCTGATGTGATTATGAAGAGCCAAATAACTGAGTAGTATGATGATCGTTTGTATTGGTGCCACATCAGTCATCTCTGAGAGCGATTTCTTTCCTTTACATTTAGTGCTGAAACTTAAACATGCAGTCCTGCTTTGTGGTGTAACTCTAGATTAAAACAAATAAAACATATATTTTAATGAGATATTAATGTTGACCATATTATGGCGAGAATGAATGTTTTAAACACACAACTTTAAACTCCTGTTGTCCGCCGAATATCTGAAACATGATGGTAATTGTAATGTAATATTAATTTAAAAACACACACATATTTACCAAACTGTGACTGTACCCTTTCATGCTGGCATCTTTGAGATTACCATGGCAACATCATTTATCAGATCCATCCCATCATGATCTAAAGGTTAGCAAACATTTAACTGAGGCCAAAAATGTTCGTCTTTATGTTTTGAATCTTAAACACTTTTTTTCTGCCCGCTAAATGATAGCTATATCACTAGTTACCATAGCAACAGTACACCCAACGCTTGTTGCAGGCTTTCTGCTGAAACCTCATGAATCATGGCCAAAGCACCACATTAAACTAGTCGTAAGCTTTGAATTTTAGTCCTTTGCGATGGCAATCACCATCCAGAATATCTGAAGTTGCTAAATGGTGACAGGTTCACACTCTGGATCTTATTATGTGCAACTAATGATAAATAATCAGCAGAGAAAAAAACCTGCGTCCGATGTTTTGTAGTCAGGAGGAAATCCACCCTTTGGATGCCGAACTATAAGTGACTGCAGCAGCCAGTAAAAGTTCCTACTTAAAGTCTTCGTGAAACGTGATTGTTGTTTTACTACAGATTTTTAAAAAAGGATGGCAGGTTCACACACAATGGAAGTCTCATACAATCACGAGACATGTACAGACAGTGTGGCTGGACTAAGGCCAGTGTTACACTTTGCATGTCGGGGAGTACGCAAAGGCCAGTGCAACATAAATTTCATCATTTGCTACAGGGGTAATCGTGTACAAACACTATTTTAGTAAAATTCCTTACAGACGTGATGTCAGACAAGTGATAAAAAACTGGACATTGATGAATTTTTGAGCCATTTCTGTTAGTTTTCTGTCTAGTACATCAAAATCAACCAGCTCATGATGGTCTTTGAGTTCATGTACAGACCCAGAAATCCTTCCTCCAGTACTTTTGCCCTCGTTGGTAAATACAGCTGTCGACTGAGTTGCATTTAAGAAATGTTAAAGAAAAATGGATCTCCAGAGATCTGATTGTAGGGCCGCTGCATTCCTGTATGCTGCTAGAAATACACTTGTTGCTGTGTTATTGCAACAGCATTACTAAAGACCGAACGTAAAGGCAGAATATTTCTTCATCTGAGCATGTCCAGTGTGTCTGTGTGGCTCGTGAACTGGGTGTTAATGAAGTGACTGCGTGTAAAACTGTCACTAGGAGTTTCACAGGATGTCTGAGTTTCTTTTTAGTGGAAACACCAGGAGCTCTGCCAAGTGAGGCAAAGCTCTGCAATTCTGAGTCTGACCTTTGGTACATAAATAGTTTGAATTTGCTTTTTATTCCAGAGGACTGTGTATTTTTATGTCCTGCTCCATCATCTCCAGCAGCAGGATCAGACAGTAGACCGTTTGATCTGTGTCCTGGAAGCTCACAGCAAAACTGTAACGCAACATGTTTCAGCCATGTGATTATAAACACACAGTGGAGTGCTATGAATTCCCTGATGTCCCTGAATGTGTCCCATTGCAGCTCCTTCTGAACTACCAACGGTGGAGGAGGGAAAGTCCTGAGATCAGCAAGTGTTTGTCTCCTTCGTCTGTGCTCGGCCTCCTCAACACTTCGTACCACAGCGTCCTCCCACAGAGAGACCACACGGGCAGCAGGGTGCTCATCTACAGGATCGGTCAGTATCCATGTCTGGGATGGGTGGATTACTGAACGGGCCTACTGGGCCGAGGTTTCAGGGGGTCTCAAAGGGTGACAAGAAGCAAAATAAGTGTTAACTAATATAGACGACAGCAAGATAACAACTGCATATAAGGTCTGAACACAAAGAGGTAGAACATCTGATGGACAACAAAACAGGAAGAGCTACAAGTAGCCCACAGAATCAATTAAAAATAGGATTTGCTGAGGAAAAATAAATTGAAATGCCATTTTACTTAAAAGTGGTGGTAATAAGGGCGATGATTTTAGGGAATTTTGGAAGCTTTGAGTTGTGCACACTGTAACTCTTGGAGGTTTTATGTTTGGAACATTATTACTAGCAGGATCTCATCAAACCTAAGGACTGTGGGGATCGTAGGTGGGTCCAGCAGGGAAAACACTAATGAGCATGTGCAGTGGGCTGCGTAACTCAGAAGCAAACCCAGAAAAATTGCCTCGCTTATGTTGTTGGCAAAGTGACTGGTCGCCATTTTTGATCCCAGTGTTTAGCTCTTACTCTACATCCATGTATAAAATCTGCAGGTTTCAGTTTCTTCAAAAAAAATCCCAACATAAGTCATAACATCAGAAACGTATATTAAGGATGTGCTAACATTAGCTACTAGGAAACAGGCCACAACAAACCAAGTTAGGCTGTAGGAAAGCTTAAGATTACAGTTTTGTATTCGTAACAGGAAGAATTTGTAATTTCCTCTTTCAAAAGAGAGAATAGTCAGTGTGCTGGTAAAATAGCTGCTGTTTCCCTTTAAAGGAGAAGACCTATAAGTTCTCATGAACCAGATGATTCAGCCGAGAGTCCTTCATGGCCATCCAACATTGTCTGTGGAGACAAAGTTTACTTTTGAAAGCTCCTGGATCGTTTCATTGAACCCCTGCCAACTCCTCTACGCCTACCTGTCTTAGTCTGTTTTGTCTTGTCACCATGATGCTGCGTCATTTCTAAATCTTTCAGATTCTCATTTCCCACAAATATGTCACGTGTATTTCCTCATAGATTTCCTTGTTAAGCCAGCTTGTCTGCTTCCTCATTATTCAGACTGTCTACATGTGAAGTCATCCACGTAAATATGATCTCTGTGCCACTCATGAATATTTTACACGCCATTTACGCCTCATATAGTTATGTTAGTGTGCCATTTAATTAGTCTGCCCGCAAATTAAAACCAGACTTGTTCAAGTGATGTGAGCACAGAAAACAATATCTGTGAGCATAAATCCATCTTGTCAAGAGAATATTTCTGCTCAACAAGCTCATGTAACAGTGTTTACAAGTGGAAACGTCCTCACGGGGGGAACATATCTGCTCTGGATGAACAAATGTGTTCCCTCGAGAACGTGACCGTGACAACCGCTGATCAACCCTCCCACTGCAGTCAGCGCCTGATACAGTTACTTTCTACGGCCACAGTGTTCGGTCTGTCTCTGACCTCTGATGGAGGTGGAAAAAAACTCAGATCTTAAGTAACAGTACCAAT